CCTACAACGTAAACAACATTTATTTTATAATATTCCAGCACCTGCTTTTAGTTAGAGGCAAGTTACAAAAGTGCAACGTATTTATTTAGACATGAAATGAAGGCCTAGATCGACAGATTTAACAAAAGAAAAAACTTCCAACATTGTTCTTAATATTCGGTTATTTTAATGCATAGCGCTAGAACCTTTTTACCTGCTAAAAACCATAACATAAGTTTGCAATTCTGCTGAATATATCGACCAAGTTTATAATACGAAAGACGTAAACATGTTTTTCCAACATCCGTATTTCATAGACTTTCAGGTGTTTTTCGTCTGAAACTATTCACAATATTCAAAACATTTTTGCCGGTTATCATAATCCGTCCACAGAGCAGTGGAATTCGAGTAAATGAAAATCTGCATTAAATATTTTAAAGTTTAAAGGCAATTTTAAGAACATATACCTCATTGAACCCATAGTTAACAACAATTTGAACACCTAATTACTTACTGACATTGACTGCTATATAATCAAAGTGGTTTTCAAGTATATGTTTGTAATGAGACACAGAATTCTAATTAAATAACAAGATCATACATGTATTTGACATGAAATGAAGCCACAATACCAACAGCACTCCACATATGGAACTAAACAACGCACAATTAAGATACTGATGAAGATACAACATGTAGAAACAGGTTGAGCTTCAAACATTCCACTTTGTGTTTAAACTTAATATGCCTCAGTTGTCTGGAGTCCTGTTTACAACGTACACATTGAAAGGCTCCAAAAAAATTCAAAGACGCTTCATCGAGTACTTAGCTTTTTTAGTTGATAATGTTTACCCAAGTCAGGGTTTTCCACAAAACCTCCTATTAAAAAGATTTGGCATGGACAGTCTGATTGCAAGAAGAATTACTGAGTCAATATCCTTTTTACACCAAATCATTAATGCAAAAATTGATTGTCCAGAACTACTTGAGCAAGTGTACCTCAGTCAAACCTAAGAAACACAAAGTGCTTTCAGATACCTGTACCTAAAACTAATGTACTGAAAATGTCACCCCTTTATCAAGCGCTACAAAATTATTCGTATATTGAACAAGATTTTGATATATTTTCAAATTTGTTGACCTTAAAATTAAAATGCTCTGTCAAACAAGTTAATTGTTATTTAGTTTATTTATTTTTACAACTCAATAATTGGGCCCTATGTCTGCTGAGTTGATTTCTTCTTAAAAATAATAATAACTAAACAACGAACAAAGTTACACATCGTCGCCTGAGAACTTGTTTTATCTACAGACCAAAGCGCACTCAGGCTAATATCGACTCTATCTATAAGTCGACTTTCATTGGAGCTGATCTGATACACATCCACGACGAAGAACTAACTCGGTTCGACAATCTGGTCAACGAATAAATGAACACAGTTTTTGAACATCTTAACGATTAAATGGTAAAACGCTCACCAAAATTTGTCACCAACAATGAAATGACGTAATTTTCAAATTTTACAATAGGAGATGTAATTTAAATTTTATATCCTCTTTTTTTGGTTTATGAATCCATGTTGAATTTTTACATTCGACGTCACGATTTTTGGAAAAAAAATGAACAACATTCTCCAATTTATAGTTATTGGAAGCACGTTAAATCGTTAGTCAAAATTTATCAGTCGATGCCCCCAGGAGTTTTTTGGCTTTTCGATTTTTCGATTTTTCGATTTTTCAACTTTGGATGTTTCAATTTTTCAATATTCCAATTTTGGACTTTTGGACTTTTTCAATTTTTCCATTCTTCCAATTTTCGATTCCTTGATTTTTTTTTTTAATCTTTCAGTTTTGGGATTTTTCAATATTTCGATTTTTCGACTTTTCGATTTTTGATTTCTGATTTTTTACTTTTTGGATTTTCAATTTTTCGTTAAACTTTAAATTTTTCAATTTTTAAAATCCTAGGTTTTTCGATTTCTCGAGTTTTCAGTTCTTGTATATTTCAATTTTTCAATTTTCCAAATTTTTAAATTTTCGATTTCCCAATTTTTCATTTTTCAATTTTTCCGATTTTTCAATTTTTTTATTTCAGTTCTTCAGTAATTCTGTTTTTCAATTTTTCAAATATTGACGTTGATCAATTTTCAGGTTTCCGATTTCTCAATTAATCTATTTTTGATTTTTTTTTATCGTCGCGAGCCAAAAGAGCGGAATTTAAGGTAATTGCAAAATCCTTATAATACTAAGAAGAATACCATGTATATTAAGAAAAAAATTAAAGCCAAAGATTAAGCCCCACCCACACCTGTCCTGATCTAAATAATAATGAAGTTTTCATTCGTTGGCAGATCTGGGGGCGGAGCCCAATTGCAAAATCCACATTTCCTTACAAAAATTTACCATTTTAAACGTGTTTTAAGTTTGTAAGAATAAAAAAAATCATCACAATTGAGAGACGGTGGGTGGGCGGGGTTTATATTTTACCTTTCTTTTTCTTAATATAGATAGTATTCTTTGAACAACACGATACTCAAAAACATATTTTTAATTTCTTGTAAAGAAATAAGTATCTTGCAGTTAAGCTCCGCCTCCTTGATTCACGGCGAATAAAAAAATCATCACAATTGAGATAGGGCGGGCGGGCGGGCTTACATTTTGCCTTTTTGGTTTAATATGTGTAGACTTCTTTTCACAACATTAAACTTAAAACATGTTAAAATGGAAAATTTCTGAAAGGAAATATCGATTTTGCTTTAGGCTCCGCCCCATAATTGCAATATCCATATTCCCTTTCAAAAATGTACCATTTAAACCATGTTGTAAGTTTTTTGTTGTGAAAAAATAGCTATGTATATTAAAAGAAACACAAAATATAAACCCCGCCCACCCACCCTATCTCAATTCTGAAGATTTTTTTTTATTCCTCGTAAGCCGAGGGGCGGAGCTTAATTGTAAAATCCTTAATTTTCTACGAGAAAATACCATGTGAAATATGTTCTTACGTAATCGTGTTATACAAACAAAACTAAATTTTTGTTTTTTGATTTTTTGATGTTTGGATTTCTCGATTTTTTAATTTTGTGATATTTTAATTGTACAATGTTTTAAATTTAAGATTTTTTTATTTTTCAGTTCTTCAGTATTTTTATATTTCAAGTTTTCATATTTTGACGCTGCTAAACTTTCAGTTTTCCGATTTCTCAATTTTCCAGTTTTTTAATTTCTCAATTTTTGGATATTTCTTTCAGTTTTGGAATTTGTCAATATTTCGTTTCTTCGACTTCTGGATTTTTCGATTTTTTTTTCAAACTTTCGATTTTTTAATTTTTCGACTGTTTTATATTTAGATTTCTCAATTTTTCAACTTCTCGATATTTTAATTTTTCAATTTTTAAAATTCTAGATTTTTCGATTCCTCGAGTTTTCAGTCCTTCTATATTTTTCAATTTTCCGAATTTTTAAATTTTGGATTTCTCAATTTTTTTAGATTCCGATTTATCGAGATTCGGATGTCTCGATTTTTATTGTTCAATCTCTCGGGTTATCAATTTTTCCATTTTTAACTTTGTGATTTTTCCATTTTTTCCTATTTCGGTTTCTCAATTTTTCAATTTTTCGACTTCTCGACTTTTCGACTCCTTGATTTCTCATTCTTTTGATTTTTCGATTTTTGAATTTTCGAATTTTTATTTTTTGGATTTTTTGATCTTTAGATTTCTCCATTTTTCAATTTTACGATATTTTAATTTTTCAATGTTTTAAATTTTTGGACTTTTCGATTTTTCAATTCTTTAATATTTATTAATTTTCAAATTTTGACGTTTCTGAATTTTCAGTTTTCCGATTTCTCAATTAATCTATTTTTTGATTTTCCCATTTCTCGACTTCCCAAAGTTTCGATCTTTCAGTTCTTCAATTCAATTGTTCGATGTTTGAGGTTTTTGATTTTTCAATTTTTTAATTTCCTAATTTTTGGATGTTTCGTTCAATTTTGTGATTTTTCAGTTTTTCGATTCTTTAGTTTTTCCTGTATTTTTCAATTTTTCGATATTTGAGTTTTGGGATTTTTTAGTATTTGGATTTTTCGAATTCTGGATTTTTCGATTTCTCGACTTTTTACTTTTTAGATTTTGAATTTTTCGTTTTTTAATTGTTACATTTTTTAATTTTTCGACCGCTTAATATTTCGATTTCTCAATTTTTCAACTTTTCGATATTTTAACTTTTCAGTTTTTAAAATTACAGGTTTTTCGATTTCTCAAGTTTTCAGTTTTTCTATATTTCAGTTTTTCAATTTTCCGAAGTTTTAAATTTTCGATTTTTCGATGTTTCAATTTTTCTATTATCCGATTGTTCAATTTCTCGATTTTTTAATTTTAAATTTTCCAATTTTTATTTTTTTAATTTTTTCATGTTTGGATTTCTGGATTTTACAATTTTTCGATATTTTAATTCTTAGATAATTCAAGTTATTGCTAAAAATAAAAATAAAAAATAACCACCAAAATTGTGACTAAAAAATTCTGAACGCTTAGAGTCGATATTGGCCTCAGCGCGCTCTGGTCTGGAGATCAATCAAGTTCTCAGGCGACGACACGTTCGCAAAAGTAGATGCTGATGTCGTACCACCAATAAAATTTTCCGTTTTTTAGCGAATATCAAAGTGTTAGCACCCGATGAACACTATCGACAGCAAAGTGAAATTGCAATTAATTTGTACTCACAAGAACACCACGAACTTTACGAAAGCAATCAGCATTAGTAAAATCAACGAATTGCCAAGGTCACAGAAGGTGTAACTATTTTAAACAATATTCTGAAAAATTCCGCCACTTCATGTTTCAGTTATTTGTTTAATAAGTAAGCGCCGCGGTATGCGTCATTTTTTTGACATTAAAAGTCACCAACATGACAATGACTAAGTAATAAAATGAGAAGGATCTGAGTACCTTGCGGATACGCAACCCCCGTTTTTGCCGAAAAAAAAAACCTATTACGTAATAATGAAAATATCTTACCTCGCATGCCATTTTCAAATCGGAAATTGAAAGCACGCTTCCTGCTGTTTGTAAATACTGTACATTTTCTAAATGCATCTTAAAATCTTCCGATAATAGTTGCGACGCATCTACATCTGGCTGCCTGGGATAATATGCCTTCCGGTATCCCTTACAATGTTTAGTAGCGCAATCCTTGTAAGCGCCCTTCTGACAAAACCCACAAGGAGGCACATACAAATTCTCGTTAGAGAGCGATTTCCGACGACACTTGATAGAAGAGCAATTACACCGCTTTGGAATGGCCCCACACTTATTTGTCTTGCATCCATTTGCCTTGCTCGGTACTGATTCATAAATAATGCAATTGCCACATGCCTCCTGCGATTTTCTACGCTCGCTGGGTTTTCTCTCCAACATAACGCACGAACACCTGTCATTGGAACCGAAAGTGGTCAAGTTTAAGTTGGAAACGCTTTTAGCAGCGTTTAGCCTCACAAAAGTGGTGGGTTTTTCCGAAATACTAGAATTGGAGCCTAAATCTATGGTTAGACTAGCATTAGAGCCCCGTCTTTCTAATAACCCTTTTGCCTTAATGCGAACTGGTTCAGTCCTGTTGTCAGAAAAATCTTGCAATGTCATGATTTCAGGTAGCGTTTTGAGGGTTTGAGAGCCCGAAATACTGTTGTTCGAAGCAAACTTCTTCAAATTTGAACTAAAATTTGGTGTTAAGGTTGTTTTATGATTACCATCGTCAAATTCACATGACAGTTTATGTTTGATTTGTCTTTTTGGAGTATTTGGCATAGAGAAAACATCCCTTGCTACTTCTAAGCTTGTTGATTGTTTTGGAGGATCTGAATCTAAGCTCACTGCTTTCAGCTTCCGAGAGAGAGTGGGAGTCTTCGGTGACTGGATCTCGAGTATTGGATGAGGGCATGTATTGAGGGTCGACTGTTCTGAAAGGTCCAAAGTGGGAAAGTTCCGTTCTTTTTTCAACTTATTTGAGGCCTCATCGTCCATTTTTCTCACCTACAAACAAAAATTTGAATAAATTGACGTTCATTTAAATTTTTAAGGTTAGGTAAGCTGCCAACCCGCCGACGAAAAACCCTACTGCATTATTTTATTACTTATTATGGATAAAAACACCAAGAAAACAAAAAAACAGAAATGTTATTATTGGAAATCAGGTCATCAGTGGGGGGTGTAATTAAATCCCTCCCCCAATTGATTATGTGGGGGATGAAGCACTCACATGGATTAATTGTCGTAGTCGCAACTTACGTAGATTGCTTGTTCCCAAAATCCACTTTTGTTTATATTAGGGTTTTTGTTTATACTTAATTACGAAATTAATTCATTCATACCAAATGTTGGTAATTCTAAGGTGTCGGAACTGGTTTCAGTCATGACGCACTTTGTTTTCAATCATTGTCACGATTAATTTATTGTTTTCAGTGTACAAAAATTGGGTTTAAATTCAAACATTTTTGAAACACGGCTGGGGCAAGACTCGTCGGCCATTATAGCAAGATCGTAAACAGCTGTCTGTAGGTCAATCTGACACAAATCTGGTCAGAAACGAATTCAATGCGCCATTAACTTTATAGAGCATTTGTAGGTACAATTCTTGACCTGCTGTATAAGATCGATCCAGCTATTTTGTGAATGAAATAGATGCAGCGCCCTCTACAACCACAAATTTTAGTTGAACTTGAGTGCAGAAACCTGTCATAAAATCAAAAAACAAAATAAATTAATGCTTTTGCTTATTGAACCCTTGAGTCCACTAAATAGGTTGGTAACAATTATATATTATCTTTATCGTCATAAGTACAAAAGCTAAATTTAATGACATGTTGTGACGACCTCTGTAACACTTTTGTTTAAGTATTTATACACCTATAATAATAAATTAATTAAAAATACAAGTTTCCTGTGTACCTACACATTACGTATTTTCAGTGAGTATACGAGTAGATGTTAAATACATAGTCACTGGTATTTTCATACAGTAAAAGGATTTTAGTAAAAACAAAATAAATATATTAGCTACATGAATTAATGAATTTATTGAATGTTGAATGTATTGTAAGGTATTTAAATTAGACAATGTTTATCATTAGGATAAACAGTGACTGATGTCGCTGACTCAAATTCTTGTTTAATTAATAATGCAGTTAGCTAGGGATCTCTCGAAAAAAGTGACTCACTTCAAATTCTCATTAAAAATGCAGTGACAAATTTTCCAAAACCAGTTTGTTGTACAATCTCTTATAAATCATCAGAAATAATTCGATGATACAAGGTGATTCACACAACAGTACGAGCACAGTATAGATATCAATCAGTAGAGACAACTCGCCGTTTTTCGTGACCCGTTTTCGTGGGTGGTCGTTCGCATTATGACCGAATGAGGGCGCCCAACTGACGTATAAAATATTTGAAATTTGGCAGTTTTGTTACAATATTTTTGCCGGTTTTGCTTGTTTAAGACTGCTTTTCCAGTAGAATTGTACAAATAGTATAAAAATGTAATTTTCACAATAAAAGGTAAAATCTTTGTCCGATGAATTTTCATACAGGATCCCTGTTGTGCGCCTTATTCTCTCCATCGTGTTTGGAATTCTTGGAAAAGATAGTAAACATAACACACTTTTTGTTTAAAAAGTCGTCGCAAACGGACAACAACGGTGGTTATGAAATAAATAATAAAAATTTATTATATATGATTCCGTTGTTGTGGTGAAATTAAATATAAAAATAATAAGAAACAAACTACATGTAACAAAAAATTATATAAGCAGACCTTCTCTCAATAAACAATTTTTTTATTCATCATGTATACAGGGTGACTGCGAAATAAGTGCAAATATTTTAACCACGGCATCCCCCACCCTAGTAGAGCCGAAATATAGAAAAAACAAATTAAAAATCGAATGGGGCAAAACCCCCATGAACCACCCTCGATACGAAGGCACTGAGCCACCTTGTAAATAGAGTTGGAAAAACGTTCGAATAAAAACGACCTAAACACTTTCAGTTTCAATTAAAAGTAAAACCGACTTTTTGCTGCTTATCATTCGTTCATTCATTTACTCATTCATCGCTAAAGGTCAGTGTGAAAGTTTTTTGGTAGTTTTGATTCTGACGGATGTTTGGTCCTTGTCACAACGATTTTACATTGTTTATTGGAACAGAAATAAGAGCAACTTAGAATGCTACTACCTTTTTACAAGAAATGTTGAAAATGTTGTCCTTGACTAGCAATACAGGCCTCAGAGCGTCGCAAGAGGTTTGTTGATAGGTAAAAAAACACCGGAGTAGCGGCTGCCACTTTCACTTGTTGAAGTTCTTCGATAATTTCTGGACACTGTTGATTTCCACAAACGAACTGTTTCATCCAACTGATACACATTTATCGAAAACCGTCTCTTGAAATCGTACTTGTTGACGAATACGTGGAGTTCCATCGGACAAAAAGTGAGTTACACAACGTGGACACAGCGGGCTCCAAACCCTGTACTTTGTCAGCATGGTATGGATGTGGCCGTATTCTTTTAATGTAGGATGCACTACAAGCTGCGAAAATCCAAATTCTCCTTTCTGCCCCATCACGGCCACGATCGTGAGTTTGAAGTTGAAGGTACCATGATCTCGGAGTTGCTGTACCATTAATGCAAATGTTCACGCACACCAATTACCATTTCGACACAATCTGCATGGGAAAACTCCACCATAAACCGATTTCACCGACCGCTCGATGCTAACTGGCCCTTTTCGTGTTTTTCACGTTGCGATTAAAAAAGTGCCTGATAAAGTAACTTTTTTGGTTATTAATTCGACTCGCTCTGTTCCATTCATTGTAGTAAGTATGTAGGTCACAAAACAGTCCAGCGGCGCGTACAACAATTTACATTTAATTTCAAATAATTTTTTCTAGACACTGCTACTACTTAGGACCGTGAATTTTACCCAGTGACATAATCATATTGTGAGCTATTCCCCATTTTTTTTTTTGCATGTATTTCGCAGTCACCTTGTATATATATATATATTTTGACCTACACAATTTTGAGTTTTATTTTGAGACGTTGCTTAACCCGTTGGTACGGCTTGGGTAAAAATTACCCAAGCCGTACATTTTGTCAAATATCCTTTTTCGCTTAATCCCTATGGACTACCGGTTTCATGAATTCCTTAATTATTCTTACCTGTGTCGACCCATACCAATTACCCGCACTTTATGTGAGCCGACAAATATGCATTTTTTTTGTAATAATTTTTTTTTAATAAAAATTTTACTTTACTCGTATATGATATTACGCTTACGGGTTAAGTTGTTAGGTAAAATGGGTTTGACTATATATTAACAAGACGCCTTTGCCAAGACGCACTGGAAAACTGTTTTGGATGGATTAGGAAACAAAATGGAAATTCTATTAACCCTATCAAAAGCCAATTTCAAATGGCTTTTGGAAAATTAATCCTACAAGATTATTTTGATGAAACGAACAGAGGTAATCAAAACTGCGAGCCTAATATGGAAGAAATTTTAAAGTTAAATGTAGGTCGTCGTTTTGATGAAGAAGAATCAGTCACCACGGTGCAGAAGACCACCTTAAAGATTGTGATTATCACTTTCACACAGCTGAACAAAACGCAATTAGATATATCTGTGGATACCTAATTCGGAAATGTTTATTAGTACATAGTTGCAATGAATGTGAAAAATATGCAAATGAACATAAAAGTTTAGACAACACAAGCATATATTCACATTTCAGAGCCTACCAAACGAAGAATTGCGAGTTATTTGGTAAATTATATATGCCAAACCAGTGACTATGTATTTAACATCTATACTCACTGGCCAAACGATAATTTCTTTTTTTACATTTGTGAATTAGAGCAAATTTTTGTGAAAATTTTGAAAATATAATTTTACAAACAACTAATTTGTTGAAATTTTTAAATTTATATAAGCAAGCTACATTTGTTCCTCCATGACAAAACTTTCCATACGATTATTTGCTTGCTTTGTATGCTAGGATGAGATTATTTTATGCACTAAAATTTGTAAATGCTAGCTTTAAATTTACAAATGCCAAAGGTGAAAAAATTAATAGAAAGAAAATAATTTGGCAGCATTAACTTTTTTTATTTTTGTAATTTAATTTTTATTTTATTTATTTTTTCTTAAATAAACCTCTTTCTTTTTAGATGTATTTATTACATTATTTTTACAATGATAATTAAACCTCAAGTATTCGGGGAAAGAATGTGCGAATTGTCAAATTGTATAAGTAATTAAAAAAAACTGTAACAAATCATCGTGTTTATAAATTAAATATCGACTTTTCTTTTTTCTTATTGCGATTCACGATTATACGATTTGAGCAAACTACACAGTTTTGCAATAAATTGCGTACACGAATCAATTTTTGAAATTGTAAATGAAGTGATACTTTTTAAATTGGGTGGCGACATCTAGGAATAGTTTAGGCAACGACCACCCATGACGGCTTAAAATTCGGGTCAGAAAGAACAAAGGCGCCGACACGAGCTGTCTCTACTGATTGATATCTATACTGTGGCTCAAGCCAAGTAGTTACGCTCAGGTTACGCTTACGACTACTTGGCTGCAACACAACATACATCCTAAGTGAAGCACTGGATCCTACAGGATTACAAATGTGTCATGTTCGATATTATACCTAAAAATAAAATAAAAATTGAAAAGCGTGGTTCATGGGAAGTGTGTATATGGTTGCATTAAAAATACTGATAAATTTTTGGTTGCAGATTTGTAATGTTTGCTTTTGATTGGTGTTTGTATTTCACTACAAAAACAAAATATCTGTAGAGACACACAATTACCTTGAAAATAATTATATTGAATTATATTGTTATATTGCTATCTAAAAGAAATACATATCATCCAAAATAAAGTATTTTCAACAACCGATAAACAAAAAAAAAAACGAAAACAAAATTGTTAAAATAAAAATAAACAATCTGATTTTTAATAGATTCATTCACGATTACCTATATATACATGGGTGGAGACCGTAACACGTCCTATAAATATTTGCCTTAGACAAGTGTTATTTACAATATCGATCATTATTTGGCCTATAGTAATAACTAGAAACACAAGTTAAACTTGTTTCTGGACTAATACTTAATACCTAATTATGGAAGTTCTAATGAAAATATTTTGGGCCCGCTAACTTTAATATTTTGTTTTCCCACGACTTTACATTTTATATTGTTTTGTGGTTTCCCTTCTTAAGTATTTTTTGTTAATGAAATAAAATAAAGTATAAAATTTTGTAAATTCTGGACATTTCAATTAGAAAATGCTTAAAAAAAAATTAAGATAGGAGATGATTAAATAAAGTTGAATTAAATGTTATTTCGTGTTTTACCCTAAATTAAAAAAAAAATTCATTCAGTATTTTCAGTGGATCACAAGAACGTGGTCTATAAAATATTGCCTAATTCATTGATATTATACCCAACGTGTGCAACTTCAAAAAATAAAAATAGTCT